GAACCATCCAATTTGCCTTTAAACGATCTATTTACCTGTTTATAACTTGCACCGATTTCATTAACTCAAGCCTACCACGAATATTTAAGACAACAAATAATGATCATATATGGTTCCAAACGGCATTAAATAACCCCGAGATGTATCATCTAGAATTTCAAGACTTTTCGACACCGGGTCCTGAATCCTCCAAAATTTCTCAAAAGCGTGGATATTAGCCTTTAATTTTGAAATTTTTGACTTCTTTCGCCCGGAAATAAAAGTTTCCTAAATGTTTATCATGGTCTCTAATACCGTTCGGGAGTCCCATTAGGTGGGCGGAACCATCCAATTTGCCTTAAAAAAAACGACCAACATATCGGTTTACAACTTGCACCGATCCGATTTCATTAACTCAAGCCTACCACGAACATATATGACAACAATTAATGATCATATATGGTTCCAAACAACATTATATGACCCCGAGATGTATCCCCTAGAATTTAAAGATTTTTCGACACCGAGCTCCGAAACCTCCAAAATTTCTCAAAAAGCGTGGATATTAGTCTTCAATTTTGGAATTTTTTGACTTTTTTTCGCCCGCAAATAAAAATTGCCGAAATGTTTACCATGGTCTCTAATACCCTCCGCGAGTCCAATTGGGTTGGTGGAACCATCCAATTTGTTTTTAAACGTCCAATTTAATTATCGGTTTACAACTTGCACGGATTTCATTAACTCAAGCCTACTACGAACACTTATGACAACATATAATGATCATATATGGTTCCAAACGGCATTATATGACCCCAAGATATATACCCTAAAATATTAATACTTTTCTACACCGGGCCCCAAAACCTCCAAAAATTTTCAAATAGCGTGGATATTAGACTTCAATTTTGAAAATTTTTAATTTTTTTTCCCCCGAAAATAAAAATTGACGAAATATTTACCATGGTCCCTAATACCCTCCGGGAGTCTAATTGGGTTAGTGGAACCATCCAATTTTCCTTTAAACGTCCGATTTAATTACCGGTTTACAAATTGCACGGATTTCATTAACTCAAGCCTACTACGAACACTTATGACAACAATTAATGATCATATATGGTTCCAAACAGCATTATATGACCCCGAGACGTATCTCCTAGAATTTCAAGATATTTCGACACCGGCCCCCGAAACCTCCAAAATTTCTCAAAAAGCGTGGATATTAGCCTTCAATTTTCGAATTTATTGACTTTTTTTCCCTCGAAAATTAAAATTTTCCGAAATTCTTACCATGGTCCCTAATACCCTCTGGGGGTCCAATTGGGTGGGTGGAACCATCCAATTTGCCTTTAAACGATCTATTTACCTGTTTATAACTTGCACCGATTTCATTAACTCAAGCCTACCACGAATATTTAAGACAACAAATAATGATCATATATGGTTCTAAACGGCATTAAATAACCCCGAGATGTATCATCTAGAATTTCAAGACTTTTCGACACCGGGTCCTGAATCCTCCAAAATTTCTCAAAAGCGTGGATATTAGCCTTTAATTTTGAAATTTTTGACTTTTTTCGCCCGGAAATAAAAGTTTCCTAAATTTTTATCATGGTCTCTAATACCGTCCGGGAGTCCCATTAGGTGGGCGGAACCATCTTATTTGCCTTTAAAACGACCAACATATCGGTTTACAACTTGCACCGATCCGATTTCATTAACTCAAGCCTACCACGAACATTTATGACAAAAATTAATGATCATATATGGTTCCAAACAACATTATATGACACCGAGATGTATCCCCTAGAATTTAAAGATTTTTCAACACCGGCCCCGAAACCTCCAAAATTTCTCAAAAGCGTGGATATTAGTCTTTAATTTTGGAATTTTTTGACTTTTTTTTCGCGTGGAAATAAAAATTGCCGAAATGTTTACCATAGTCCCTAATACCCTCCGGGAGTCCAATTGGGTTGGTGGAACCATCTAATTTTCCTTTAAACGTCCGATTTAATTACCGGTTTACAACTTGCACGGATTTCATTAACTCAAACCTACTACGAACACTTATGACAACATATAATGATCATATATGGTTCCAAACGGCATTATATGACCCCAAGATGTATACCCTAAAATATTAATACTTTTCTACACCGGACCCCAAAACCTCCAAAATTTTTCAAATAGGGTGGATATTAGACTTCAATTTTGAAAAATTTTGATTTTTTTTCCCCCGAAAATAAAAATTGACGAAATGTTTACCATGGTCCCTAATACCCTCCGAGAGTCTAATTGGGTTGGTGGAACATCCAATTTGTCTTTAAACGACTAATTTACCGGTTTACAACTTGCACCGATTTCATTAACTCAAGGCTACCACGAACATTTATGACAACAATTAATGATCATATATGGTTCCAAACAACATTATATGACCCCGAGATGTATCTCCTATAATTTCAAGATATTTCGACACCGGCCCCCGAAACCTCCAAAATTTCTCAAAAAGCGTGGATATTAGCCTTCAATTTTGGAATTTATTGACTTTTTTTCCCTCGGAAATTAAAAATTGCCGAAATGATTACCATGGTCCCTAATACTCTCTGGGGGTCCAATTGGGTGGGTGGAACCATCCAATTTGCCTTTAAACGATCTATTTACCTGTTTATAACTTGCACCGATTTCATTAACTCAAGCCTACCACGAATATTTAAGACAACAAATAATGATCATATATGGTTCCAAACGACATTAAATAACCCCGAGATGTATCATCTAGAATTTAAAGATTTTTCGACACCGGGCTCCGAAACCTCCAAAATTTATCAAAAAACGTGGATATTAGTCTTCAATTTTGGATTTTTTGAATTTTTTTCGTTCGGAAATAAAAATTGCCGAAATCTTTACCATGATCCCTAATAACCTCCGGGAATCCAATTGGGTTGGTGGAACCATCCAATTTGCCTTTAAACGTCCAATTTAATTACCGGTTTACAACTTGCATGAATTTTATAACTCAAGCCTACTACGAACACTTATGACAACATATAATGATCATATATGGTTCCAAACGACATTATATGACCCCAAGATGTTTACCTTAAAGTATTAATACTTTTATACAACGGGCCCCAAAACCTCCAAATATTTTCATAAAGCGAGTATATTAGGCTTCAATTTTAAATATTTTGATTTTTTTTCGCCTGAAAATGAAAATTGACGAAATGTTTACCATGGTCCCTAATACCCTCTAGGATTCTAATTGGGTGGGTGGAACCATCCAATTTGTCTTTAAACGACCAGTTTACCGGTTTACAACTTGAACCGATTTCATTAATTCAAGCATACCACGAACATTTATAACAACAAATAATGATCATAAACTGTTCTAAATGACATATATGACCTCAGAGATGTATCCCATAGATGTTCAAGACTTTTCGACACCGGGCTCCGAAACCTTCAAATTTTTTCAAAAAGCGTGGATATTAGCCTTTAGTTTTGGAATTTTTTAACTTTTTTTCACCCGAAAATTAAATTTGCCGAAATGCCAACCATGGTCCATAATAGCCTCTGGGAGTCCAATAGGGTGTGTTGAACCATTCAGTTTGGTTTTAAACGACCAATTTACTGGTTTACAACTTGCACCGATTTATCGGTTTACAACGTTCAATTTAGTTAATTTGCACCGAATCCGACTTGAACCAAAATTGACCCAAACCCGTTTTAACCTGAATTTAACCCGACTTGTTACTAACCTGACCTAAATTCAACCCTACCCGTTACTAACCTGACCTGAGTTTAACCCAACCTGTTACAAACCCGACTTGTTATTGATCTGACCCAAATTCAAACCGACTTGTTATTGACCCGAACCGAATTTTACCATAACTATTACTTAACCAACCCATAAATTCAACCCGATCTGTTATTAACCCGACTCGAAATTAACACGACTTGTTATTGATCTGACCTAAATTCAACCCAAATTGTTCTTGACCCGATTCAAATCCCCTTAAATGCAATTTAGACCACCTTATTATTTTTTATTAAAGCATTTTGTCTTGGGAGACCAAGTCACGCAGTCCAGGCCAGCAAAAGAAAGGAGCATCATCCTCAAATTTAAGAGTTAAATATAGTATATAGTTCCCTAGTATATTGCCATATATATTATAGTTAAAGGAAATAATTAGCTTGATAAAAATGATAATTATCTATTTATAATTAGTTGAATCCGAATATGACCTGACTTGGAAATGACACGACCTGATTGTAACCTACAAATTATTGACTTGAACATAACCCGACTTGAATCCGAAAATGACTCGACTTGGAAATGACCTAACCTGATTATAATCCGCAAATTATTGACTTGAACCGAACCCGAATTTAACCCGAGAATGACCCGAATTGAAAATGACCCGACCTGATTATAATCCACAAATTATTGACTTGAATCGAACCCGACTCAAACCCGAGAGTGACCCGACCTGATTCTAACCCGCAAGTTATTGACTTGAACCGAACCCGAGAATTACCTTATCCCGTTTTAACCCGTGAAAACCAGAATTAAACCCGACCTATTGTTCACCCGACCCGAATAAAACCCGACCTGTTATTAACCCGATTTAAACCTGACCCAAACCCGATAAGAAATATGACCCAACGTGACCCGACTCAAGCATGACCCATCCCAAACCCGACCCCCATAGATTATGGAATTAATCCGAATTTACCTGACCCAAGTTGACCCAACCCGCTCTTACCCGACCCAAATCCGACCCTTTTACCCAAATTGACAACTCTTTTATAAGTGTTTAAAGCTAATTAATCGTAAAGGAAAATGTTAAACATACTCTTTGAAAATATTACGATTAGAAAAAACACTAAATTGACAAATCTATGCATTTTGTTGAATTTTAGCACGAATTTCTACATTTATTATACTTCGTTTGTAATATGTACGAAGTATATATTACTCCGAATTAGTGTATTACACATATAATGGCAAAAGTCAAAAGTGAAGAAAAAAAGAAGAATTACAGTAATTGTTTTAAACTTTTGTGATGTAGGAAATTCTGCACATAAGTTGGCAAAGAAAAATCAAACACTATGTATTGCTATAATAATAATGACCTTTTTTTTTTTAAGAAATAATGAGCCCACAATACCTAGGACAGTGTAAATTTGCGCTAAACTTGAGAAGAAGCCTCATGAAAACTGTATTCAGGTGGTGAGATGGGTAAACAAGTAATCTCAGCTAACTTAAACTATGATTAGCGAACTGGATTCGAGAAAAAAATGACAAGAAAATATACAAGAAACCCAGCAATAAGAATTCCCCCATATATAAATGTTTGAGATGTCTGGATAGGGGCTTTGTATTCAATATTGCAGCATTTCATCTTCTCGCGCTCGCTGGCCAGGATACTATCAACATACCTGCATCAGATTGGTCTCAGAGATGTAAGGAAAAACGGTGGATAGAAGGGCTGGACCATGATACATCACAAAAGTATTCATGCGAAACATCATTTTAGAATATTTGGAAGGATAACTCACTGCTGCGTGAACATTGATGATTGCAGAATTTCTGTACTATTGAAATGTGCTTCTTGTAACCGATGGTCATACAGTAGGGACGACAAATCGACAAGCTGTTCCTCGAGGACCTGTCATCAAGTTATCATCTGAGATTACTACTTTAACATACATAACCATAATCATAAAACTAGCTATTTATAGAGCTTGAGGACTTACGTCCAAATATTTCTCCAGTCTTTCAACTAATTCATGTGGAAATGGTTCTGGAAGATGGGTGGTCTTTTTGTAGAATTTCTCCACCCAAAGTTCAGTCGTTGACTTGTTCTTTTTTCCCTTTACTGGTTCTCCAAGAGGAGTCTTCAGGTAATCCCCAGCAAAAGCTTGAACAGCCTGCAGGAAAAGTAAGGATGTAACGAGTTCCATCCACATTGGAAAGTAATAGATTATTACTCATCCGTATGGAAGATCAAATCACCAAAATGCAGATTAAATCACCTGTGATGTATCCCTGATCCTCCGGAGTGCAGAATCAACATGAGCATATATTGTGTTCCTCTGCAAATCGCGAGTAAAAATGAGCTCATATAAGTTACTTATCCAGAATACTACTAAACTTAGACATCAGTAAACACTACCACGATAATCAAACATTACTACTGTAATTTTCTATAATCAATTTTTCTGTTATGTTAATACTTCGTCATTACTTGTGCAACATCATGAAGCATTTGACTGATTCTCGAAGTATTGGAAAATGGTCCAAAAGGATGACAACCAACTGCCCAAAGCCAATTTAACACTGGCCTTTCATGTACATGAGAAGCCCTTTCAAAAGGTGCACTTAGCCCACCAACAGCTGAAGCAAGGCCTGCCAATATATGACGCTGTGCTTGTGATGGAAGAGCATGCCTCCTTTCCATTTCAGAAACATAGCTGTTGGAAGAAGCAAATCAAATAAGCAAGGTTAAGAATGGTAACAACAGTCAGGGGAGAGCTACATGGAAAGTCAAATTTCCAAACTGAAAAGTGAAAACTCAACCCCAAAAAATGCATGCAAGTGTGAATAACAGCAAGATGAAGAGGGAGGGAAACAAAATAAAAATTTGACAAGATCAGATGCCATCCACAGAGTTTAGAGAGATGATGCAACAAAATTAGAATGTAGCATTACAAGGTTATTCTCCATCTCTACACAAGAAGGGAGTGAGAATGTGAGATACAGCATATATAAATAGTGATTTTTACATCACGAGGGTAATTATTTTCTGTCGTATCCCTCTCATTGGTGATGCAGCAACAACAATGCTGTTGATCTGTCGCATATTTTCAACGTACAGAGTTAAGACCATCATTTTTTGCACCAATCAATATTCTACTGAAATTTTTTATAAGCTTTCACCATCCCAACGTTAAGGACAATTACTTGTTCAGAAACTGAAGAACTTGACTACTGGCTTTTTAAATAATTATATCAAATTTTGGGGCATGGTATTGACTGTATTGAGTGGCAAAAGGTGTTGTAGAACTCAAGTAAAAGAATAGAGTAGTATACTAATCAGAGATTAAAAAAAATAAAAATTGAGCAATTAAATAGCTAGAATTGAAAATTTCGTGGCATACCCATCAGCCATCACAAATCTCACTCCAACACCACTGACTGAAATGAAATTTGTGAAGGTTTTACACCATTAATTATTTATACGTTTGTTCCAACCATCAATCCACTTTTCTAGATTCATTGATATTGAATCAATCACATTAAGCATTTTTAACAATGTACGAAGTATAACAGAGTCCAAACTAATTAAAAAGCAAAGCAAGTTCCTCAATAATTTAGTTGACTCGCCTTAGAGGTATATTTGCACTTTGATGCTCAAGTACAATGACAACATCCTTGCTTGTCCAAACCAAGCTTTCATCTTCCATCATAAGGTGAGGATCGACATCAGCTAATGAGAGCACAAAACTGGCAAAGGAGGTTAGTAGACTTAATATCTGAAATGATTGCCAACAGTTTTCACACAAATACCAACTAAAAATCAGGGATCTAGCTTAAGATTTGACAGATATGTTTACATAGAGAACCATTCTGCCTTTTTTTTCATGGGATACTGCTGAACATTATTTTCTTGTCCCAAATGAACAGATCAGAGGGAAATTAATTAGCATGAAAAGATCAACATTTTTACATCTATAGTCTAAACTTATAGTAATCAGAACTATTTACACACGGTCATCGATACCATGTTTTGTACTTACATTGGTATGACTCTGGTCCCATAGGTCCTGTATAAATTCCCCTCTTTCTTTATAGTCTTCTTTCTCTTTTGGGCACTGAACTTGCTGCTGTAAGTAGCCCAAAGAGGTTTGTGCTTCAAAATGGAATCACTTGAATCAGCTGATTCATCCATGAAACTCTGAAAATGTTGCACTGCAGTTATGAGAATCAAGAAGCTAAATGGCAAATGAATATATTCAAAGATCACAAGTCCTTTCAGGAAATACCATATATCATGCAGTACAGATACTAGCACCTATAAGCACTAACGTCCCACAAGAAAAAGAAGTTTCAAAATGAGCAGATAATTGACATTAGAGATCCTATTCTCAAGACATGAAAGTCTGTATAGGTTTGTCAAAATAACGAGTTAGGCTTATTGCCTAAGAGGCAACTAAATGAAGCAAACTATTCATAGTGCCCTAATTTGATAAAACTTGCTCATGTTTAGTTACTCTGTAATAGTGCTCATTAAGGGTTGAGTCAGGACATTTTCCCCCTATTAGTTGCCGAAATAGTTAGGGGGAAAAAAGTTACCTCAAATATTTGCAAAATAGAATAACAAAATGGTATGCATACCACAAAAAAAGATATCACAGCCAAAATTGAATTATGCAGGGCCAAGGCTACAAGAAAAAAGAATAGAATTCTCATAGGTAACACAATAGAATTATAGGATTGGGCAAACCTGGCGAAGGAAAAATTTGTTTGAAAGAGATGGATCAGCCACGTCTAATATACCGCCAGCAAGGACATCAGCTGACCTTTCCATTTCCTGCAGATGATAATTTAATGTTATAAAACCACATATGTGATGATACCACTGAGCAAGATGCATGAAACTAGCACAGGAGCTCCAATGAGAAGATTGAGAACAACAAATAGAAGTAGTGGTTGTAAGTTGTAACAAAACATCTGCACAGAGCAACCCTTCGGGGCTTCATGATGTTTCTTCTAAAAATATAGAGAATTGAAGATAGAAAAGCAGACCTCTTTAAGAATAGCACCATCAACATATGTTTTTGTTTGGACATGAAAACGTCCATCAGTTTTTGTTTCATGGACTGAATGTCCCCGCATTGCTTTGGAGACAGCAACGGCCAACTTCTCATGCTGATGTAATGGATATGTACCCCCAACAATCACCACTTCTTGATCTTGATGGACCATTTTCTTGACCTGAAAAAATACAATTTAGAGCACTGAGATTTAACATTTTCCTGAATGAATTTACTAGTCAATTATGTAGAGCCTATGAGCAACTACAAACACTCTCAATTTGCTGCTTGGTTTGTACAGTCCAATATCTCTTTTCTTTAGACTGATAGGGTAAAAAAAATCCTCTGCAATAATATTGGAATTTGCCCAACATCAACAGAAGTGATGAACAACAGCTCAAGCTCTGCATTTTTGTTCAATGAACCTTATTTTGTTTTAGTCAATAATACTTGACTCAAAAAAGCGACCTTAAAAATCTAGCTGCTAACACACACACACACACACACACACACACACACACACACAAAAAAAAAAAAAAAAAAAAAAAAAAAAAAAAAAAAAGAGAGAGAGAGGTTCAAAGAAGCAAGCTTTTTATAATTTCTCATATAACTTATTTAGATATCACACATTCAGAAGTTCAAACGAAAGGAAGCATTTATAGTTTCTCATAAAGCTCATCAGATATAACACAGAGAGAAACAGAAGGCATCATTTACAACAATGGACCCAAAAACAAAACACTACTGATCAAACTCCTGCCTAAACAGCAAGTAGAAAACTTACCTCTTCTTTAATTGCTTCAACATCAATACTGTAGTTATGGCCTTTAGTCATGATGTTGTAACGATTATGATTCTGTAGGACAATGATAGGTATCAGCAACCTTCTCGTCATATCAACAGATTCAAACCTACATGAACGGAAGAAAAAACCAACAATATACATCAACAACAAACAACAACAAAGCCTAAGTCCCAAAACGATTTGGAGAAAAACCAACAATATACACGCATTAAAAAAAAAAAAAAAAAAAAAAAAAAAGAAAGAAAAAAAAAAAGCAACCTAATAAGAATTAAAAACAAGTCAGAGTAGAGGTCAAAGTGTAAAACAAAGCAAATGCCACAAAAAATTTATTACACTTACTACCACCAAGTACCCCAAATTGGAGCTTATAGCAAAAAATTAAAAAGGCTGCTAAACAGAAGGAATATTGTGGTCACACAAACTATGCAATATTTTTGTCATAAACTACATAGAACAACAATCTGCCATGGATTCTGTCGCTGATCTGTTTATTAAGACCAATAGGAAATTCTTATACGTAGTAAATGATAATACCAGACTAATATCCAAAACATACCTAACATCTGGAGCTAGAACATGCTCAACTGTGGTTGTAATTAGTGCTCCAAGTTGACCAACAAATACATCATGGCTTAAATGAACAGCAGCAGCACTTAACTCCTTCGAAAACATGTTACGTATGCGTGGGAGAGTTCTTGAACTGATGCTTCCTTCCTCAGTTTCAATCTTGCCATATGTGCAAGGACCTGCTGACAAGTCAATGACAGCGAATCTGCAAAAATATGTAGAGCATAAATCTCCAGCTAACAAGTTAGACTTGAGGTCTTATGAGACTGCCTAGTGCCCTACACACAATAAGGGAGTGAAAATTATTTCCTTTGTCCCAGCATAGGAAATACCTGCTTGAGCTCAGCCAAACTTGAGATGCTCCTCCTCCATTATAACGATATCGATATATGTAATCCCCTTCTTGCTTCTTCATATCATCTTCTGAAAGTTGTGTAATTCTACTATACACTAAATCATCAAGATTAATATCCTGATTCCTAGGATCCATTCTGACCTGTTTAAATTACTAAAACCATTTGTCAGATGAGAGAATAAATACAATATATTCACTAGAAACTGTCAATATAATATATCAGTGATGAAAAGGAGGCTTGGAGTAAAACAGTGCACTAGCATAGTCGTATGTATTAGTCAGGAAAGGGAATGTGTAACGATACACCTACATATTGTAACTGTTCATGAATAAATATACTAGTGGTCAGGAGGTGAGGTAAAAACCATTCTCATCTCTCTACCTCTTATAACTTGAGTCATGAATGACTCTAATAATACGGTGTTGGTATTAAATTATACTTAGATGGTATCATATAAATACCAACAAGGAGTTATAAGATTTATAACGATACCGACAAAACATTTTAGCATTCGTGGTATTACATCATGATAATACCATCTAAAGTAAAATTTAATACCAACGCATGTTATTAGAGTCATTCATGACTCAAATTATTATAGATAGAGAATCTCTCCAGTCAAATTACCAAAAGAACTCATAATTACAGGTTACATAATAATCAATTTCAGAACTAATATTTTCTAAAAATGTTCAACAATGCCATGTATTACTATGCAAATTACTAGATATTACGATACCTTGTCAAAATTCAGAACAAATATTGCAGTTGGCACTGGTCGGTCAATCTCTGGTGCAGTATATCCCGCACTCTCAACACCAAATATGTAGGAATACAGCTGCTCAAAAATAGGCTCCACAGCTGTTGCTTCCACATCATATGCCGGCACTTCTTTCCCAAATTCAGTCTATGATTGATAAATCACCAAAAGACATGTCAAACCAATAAACTTCATAAAACATAAAAGCAACACTTTAAATTTACATAATAAAAATTGTTTTTTTTTTCAACAAGGTATAATAAGGTTCAATTTCATTATGCTGAGCCATTGAGTGCCCCAATGGTTTTATAAAATCTCTAAAGGTATTCAATGAAGTAGAAGAAAGTTTTATCGCAATGTGTCAAGTTCCTTCTCCTAGATTACTTTCAATGAAATAATGGTCTTTTATGCAGATCTACAGACATTCATGTAAACTTGACATAAAATAAATTCCCAAATTGATCTCCTTTTGAAAAATACTCTTCTTGTTTATTTTTGCTGCCATAATCCACAACAATGATTTTAACATTAGAAAGCAATCCATTAAACATAAACTAGATATTTCACATTTTTCATGACTAAAACCATGGATTACACTCAAAATACGGAAGAAGTGATACGTTTGATATACTTAATAAATATTTAATCAGCTTGTCATTAAGTCATATTTTCACTCTTATGGTCCCTCACTAAATTACTACCCAGTAAAATAAGGTGAAAAAGGCAGAAAGGACCAGACATATTAGGTTTATTTAAAAAAGAGGGAGAGGGTGAGAAGCAACAGAGATTTCATCCTCATCACCTCTCTAGCTGTTCCAGCAGGAACCATAGCCTCCTTTAACACCTTCTCGAGAGATACTAGTTCTACTTCTCCAGCCTGCAACACAGTAAAATACACACGTTCTCAGCTACATGATATCTATTAAGTAAGAAGCAAGCAATTCACACATTTCCAAAAAAAAAAGAAAGAAATAAAAGAAGAGCCATGTGTATAAATCTGGACGCTAACCTCTATAAAGTATATTCTAATTTTGCAAATATTATCTTATCGTGAAATAGGGACACATCACATAGACACATATACAGAAGATCCTAGTTAAGCAGTCTAGAATCTCAGACTTATCAGAAAGCAATAAATGACACCAAAAGAGCCATATACATCAGCAGTCCTTACAGGTAAGACATTGTAGACAAGATGATGTTCAATATCCAGAGGCTCTCCAGTCTCCAAGCAGGAGGGTCGATGAGTTGGAAAGCCTATTTTTAGGAACTCTTGCAATTTGTGCAAGTCCAGTGAGTACCTATAGCCTCCATCACTATTGAACCCAACAAGAACTATGTTCACTTCGAGTGGGACTTGGAATGGAACCTGCATAGCATTCAATTTCAAGTGATTAATTTTAATTTGAGCAGAAGAATTAACAATGGTTCACTTTCAAATGCAAAATTTCCAATGTAAGGGCAGCAGAAAGCACTAGGAAAAAATGAGATGTATAAAGTAGCACAGAAACAGTGACAAAAACATAAAAATTAAAATAACAAACAGTTAGCCAGTAATCTAGTATACATTTCTCAGATTTTTGAAGCAAAATATACATTTATAGGAGTATACATAAAAAAAAAAGTAAATAACACTTAAAGGTCAGTCATATTGTTTAGAAAAGTCATTCATAATGAAAGCATCACTTAAGGCTCCATCTATTAGCAATGCATCACATAGCTAGAAAGGTTAAAGTCTATTATAGTGGCGAGCAAAGCTTTCAACAGAACCTACAAGCCTTTGACTGATGAGAGAGAAAGCAGTTTGAAGTCAGCAGCTCTTGGGTTTTAAAGGCTGCTGAGGTTTTTACAGCAAAGCTTTGCTAGCAGAGTAAGACAACAGTGAAAGAGAGAAAATGAGTTTGAGGAGAGAAAAGGAGATTGCACTGTAGACAGACTGGTCTACTGGTCTTTTTCTTATCTTAGTCATTACCCTTTTTATCCTATTTAAACTTGAACACATAAAAGGCTTTGCCCACAACTCTTGAGAGCAATCTTTTTCAGACAGTTCATAACTTCATAAGTTTCAACTAAATTAAAGTACAGGTTATCATAGTTGTGATGTAGTAAAAAAGAATTTCTTTCTTTACATCGTATTTTATATTTGGAAACGAAAGAAAGAGAGGTAGTAAAAAAAATTCTTTCTTTACACAGTATTTTATTAATTTCTTTTGACAACCAAATAAATTTGTTATATTGGAAGTATAATAGTATATGAGCACTTATCCCCTCAGGTAGAGATGGGCAACGGGCCGTGCCGTTCCGTGCCTAAATTTGGCACACCCCAGCCCACGGCACGGCCCACGTGCCTGGCGGGCCGGGCCGCGGGCCAAACCGTGCCACTTTTTTTTTTTTTAATGAACGTAAATAAAAAAAACGATATATAAATATTTTTTAGTACAACTTAATTTTATATAAATAATGTTATTAATTTATGTTTATGTTAATGTTAATATATTTTGTGTTGAACAAACTTTATTTTAATTAAGGTTTTATAAATTATTTATCTAATTATGTTTAAGTTTATATAAATAATTTTATTAATTTAGCAAAAAACAACAATACATATAATAAAAATTAAATTACCACTGCCGTGCCAGACCGTGCCACGTGTCGTGCCGACCCACGGGCCGGCCACCGTGCCTCGTGCCGTGCTCGTGCCGATTCCCAGATTTTTGTTCACGGCACGGCCCACAGCCCACAGGTGGGCCGCCGTGCCATGCCGTGCCGGCACGGCCCATGCCCATCTTTACCCTCAGGTATATAATAAAGGACATCAGCAACAATCAAAGAAGAAAACATAAGAATACTGAAGATATGTATTTGCAAGTTTAGCAACATAAAGCATGCATATCACAGCATGACCTTATCTGTGTAAAAGCAAAACACATAGCTTGTACTCAAGCTGGAAAACTAAACCAAGGGGGACAGAGGCACTGGTATTTGGCAAAACAAATTGTAGTACATAGTCGAGGGGAAATTTTCTTAGCCAAACTACAGAAAAGATGGAACGAAAGAGTAGCAAACACACTGTTTGCGCCACTTGACAGCACAAAGGGAGCCACCAAACTAAGCCTGAAAGCCTTGAACGCGTCATCTCAACATGTGATGACAGGACAAACCAATGTGTATCTAAGTATATGGTAAAAATTGTGACTAAACAAGAACAGGAACCTCATTTACAGATTGGAGGAAGGCATAAATATACAATGATATAGTTTTGCTTCAGTTGACAAGATCTCAGTATTTGGATAAACATAAAAATTGAAATGTAACTAATTAAAACAAATTTCTTACTGTATCAGCCATTGTGTTGCTATTCATTACTCTTTTTTGGCCAAGGATTATAGCAAAAACAGTCTCTCGATATTCATTGGGGTAAAACTAACAGCAGACCCCTACCTAGCTACCCCCACAATTACCACACCTTAAGTTACTTGGACTCTTCATAACACTCTAAGTACCTATGTCGAACCCTCAACACCATGACATGGGTATGACACTTGGACACTTAAATTTTGGAATATTTTTCATAAAATAGCCAAGTTGGACGCTTGGACACATACCCGTGTTAGACATGAGTAACCGAGCCTAAGTAACTTACACCTTAGAAAAAAGCTTTGCAAGAGACCATCCAATCGATTGCATCCTATCTTAAGGCAAATACTAATCAGTTTAAAGAACATATAATATAATCACCAATTCATTCAAATTTTACTCAGGTCTATATCAATTTCCATAGTTCCTACTAAATGTGTTTGTTGCCTCAAAACATGTCAAAGACTAGAATTTTGTTGCCTTTTCTTCTAAAGAGAGCACACACTACTATATTTATGAGCCAAACTTCAAAAAAGTTTAATAGTCTTGGACATGATATAATTAATTATACCAAAACAGCAGAAAAACAATTGATCAGTATAATCACAATTCTTCCCGGCGCAGTTTTTCATTATCAGAATTCAAGACAATACCCATCCTTTAAATCAAGCAGAAAGATCACCAATATGAGCTGAATATAATTAATTATCGAATAGGTCACTACCAAAAGGAACAATCTTTCATACCAAAATACAACCTAATTGTGAATTATTACTAAATAATTCTTCATCCACCAAAAATTTGACATTCCACAACATCAAATTAATTCAATCAAAGTAGCAACAAATCTCTAAATCCAAAACTCAAAATGTAATCAAACCCAAATCAAATAAAACTAGAGCCAAAATCAGAATAAATCAATAAACTAGAAGGATAAACCCTAGAAAAATGACCTCAGCGCGGGAGTGAAGCATACGACGAACATCAGATCGAACAGTATCTTTGACATCGTGGAAAGCGCCATGGTGCCAGTGAGGGCTTCCAGGGTCTCTTTTGAAGGCTTTGTGCGCAGACTCCATTGATGGAAGCTCCGCCATTAACAGAATCAATAGTATCACCATTGTTAAACAGTTTCTTGATAATTTCATCTTCCATGGAAATTGAATTGGAATCATCAATCTAATTCGCAATTTAAGGTTGTTGCTGTAATGATTCGATTTGGGGTAGAGAAGAGAAGTAGCAACTAGCAAAGAGCTGAGAATGAACTAGTGTGGTTAATGGTCGTGGGGTTGTAGACCAAAGTAGACGAACAAGATCACTGGTACATTTTACTATGGCAAATTTGATTTTTATCGCCTCCAAAAACCAACTTATTTTCTTTTACCATCTACTACCATCATATAAACAAATAAAAATTGACTTTTACCACTAATAACCTCGAATTTCGTCCATAAATTCATTAATGAGGCCTACTACACGTGTCACCATATTATTGGATAAAATTGAAAAAAAAAAGGAAACCTTCGTCACCAACTGTCACCTAGCCACCAGCGGATCGACTACCAGACCCACCGCCGGACCGGTTAAGTGTCAATGGATGGCACGCTGACATTTATTAACCTTGGTCTACTTTTTAAGCCTATCAACCTAAAATCAATAAACTTTTCTTATTGAGTATAAATTAGAATTAAATTAGGGGGACGATGGTTTCCAAGGGGAGATTGTTTAATTCCCTTCCAAAAAAACAAAAATATGTTTAAACATGTTTAAGCATAAAAAGATTATTTTCCTAATCATTAATTTGATTCATAAAATGTAGAATGGAGATGAAACTATACAAGTGTTGAAAAAAACTCTTAATTTAATCACTACCTCGGTTGATTTTTATGTGCAACTTAGGGGTATTATTTGTGGGATATAAAATATTCCAAAATTGCACATAAAAATTAACGGAGGTAGTATAAAAATTGCTACTCGTACATGGCGAGAGGTAGAGTGAGACGGAAGAGGGTAAAGTTCAAAGATTGTAAATAAACTCCTACTCCGTATTTCATTAGAGATGGTGGATATGCGAGTTGTCAAAAGAAGGTAATGACTAATGACAATATTACATCAGGGTTTTGCTTGTCGTAGAATGAGAATGGTGGAGGGCAACTATGAATATTTTGTAGTAGGCGTGTACTTAGATTCTACTTGTATATGAACAAATAATTCTAACATAATAAATGATAGCTCCAAGATTATATGTTCATAATCATTACCAAAGTTTTTACAAACAAATAAAGGGTTTTCATGGGTAATTATGACAAAGGTTGCCTTAATTCTGTCAATATAGTCATCAAGGTAGGCTTACTAATGAAACTTGTTTAATCTTTACAAAATGTACAACAAAAATAGTCATATTTATCAAGACCGATTCAATTAGTTTTCAGATAATCATGATTCAAGGGCACGATGATTTTCTAGACTTGTAATCAAACCTGCCAAAGTAAGCAAAAACGTTAATTGGTTGAGCCGAGGAGAAATTATCCCATCATAGCAATCCTTATTGACCGCTCTCAACTGGTAACCAAACCTGCCAATGTAAGCAACCCTTACCGTTCAATTGATAAACCAAAGGAGTATGTATGGGGTTAGAATTCTGGATGGTAACCGCAAAAGAACTCATTTCGTTTGCTGATTGAGATACCATCCCGTGTCTTATAAAATTTCAAACATCAATGATCAGTGTTGTGAAATGTCAGAAACAATAAGGGGGTGGGGGGAAGTCATAGAAAAGGTATGTTCTGTGCTGGTTAACTGCAAGGCTTCCATTGCACATCAAGTAAACGGACTTCTGATAGCAAATACAAGTACAGGAGAGGGAAGTTTGATAAAATATGATTCATCCAGAAGCCTCATATTAGTGAGCAGTAAACAGCAGTGCGATTTCCTTTGTAAGTAAATCTCCAAAAGTAACCAACTGAATGATGCTCAGCTGCTCCTGCAAGCATATGATACCCGAAAAGGTGTCAACCCTCTAACCGTTCCAGTATACAAGTCCACCGGCAAAAAACTGGAATAAAGGCGCTGCCTCAGTGACATGGTGTGTCTCGCATTTGAATGCTTGGCACAAAAATCATGAAACTTGTCTTCGGTTAACAGCCATGTAAATTGTCACAAGCAACTAGTGTTCTAAAGCACTTCGGATAGAAAATGGAGGGTCCTGTACCACACCTCTGCGGATAAGATCATGGTTAAAGAACAACACAATGACAGAAATGTCATCATGGAAATGACGTCTAACTTTCTTGTCGATTTTCTGGAGATCAGAAAACCGCATTTCTCTTTTTCTAGCAGCTTCATGTAGTGCGGCTTTGACAAGCCGTTTAGCACTTCCCTGCAATATCCAAAACTTGTAAGCTACCAAAGCAACAAGAATGCATATAAATAATTTCCACGCTCCCATATGATAATATATACTTAATTAAAACCAAACAAAAGCCACAGATGCTATGAGATTCACAAATACAGAGTATTTCCTTATTCAATTAGATAAGTCAAAAACATCACTACATTGATAACAATATGGGAGGATCAAGAATCTGTGTAAGGATTTTAAAAGTGTAAATTCCATTGTATATCTGTAATAGCATGAAAAATCCAAATTGTCAGAATTAGGAAGAACAAAATTTAGAGGATAAAGATTGTAGATTGTAATTTGATGCTATTAAAACAACAAATGGGGTTCATAATCCCAGCCTTTCGAGTTTCAGAGTGGCTGGACACTCCCACTTGCATACTAATCAAAGTAAAATAAATCCTCAACAACTATTACTTATCTCCTCTCTAACTGATCTGCTCACTTTACATCCTCTCACAATTCCTTGCCTCTCCTGCCTGTAATCAACTATCTACTTTCCTCTTCAATCTAAAGGTAATGGACTAATTTGCATTACCAAGAGGGCCCCATCCCACTAGGCTAGTCTATTACACTACCATACAAAAAAAGGTGATGGAAGCCTGAACCAGTGAATTTTTTTTGACCAAGCCACCAAGTACAAATACTCCAGCCATTCACAAGACCTAGTCACCAACAATGCAGCAACAGCAATCCATCTCTAGATTGATACTTCTAGTTATCCCAAAAACAAAGAGAAAAGGAGGGGGGGGGGGGGACTCAATATGATGTAAAGCACATAAATGCACGGAATTTTACGGGATGCATCCCGAGGTCATATGATGATGTTTGGACCCATATAAAACCATAAGTCGGCTACATAAAGGCCCCGTGGAAGCTTATAGCCAATACAAGTGGCGTGTACGGAAACTGTTAAAATCGGATGCTTAAAGGCAAATTGGATGGTTTCACCCATCCAATTGGACTCCCGAAGGATATTAGGGTCTATAGATAGCTTCTCAGTAATTTTTGTTTGCGAGTAAAAAAAAGTCAAAATTTGGCAAAATTGAAGGCTATAATACACGTTTTTTGGCCACTTTCAGAGGTTTCGGGACCCGGTGTCGAAAAGTCTCGAGATACTATGGGATACATCCCAGGGTCATATAATGTCGTTTGGAACCATAAATGATCATTATATATTGCCATAAATGTCCGGTAGCCTCGAGTTTATAAATCGATACAAGTTGTAAACGGGTAAATTGACAGTTTGAAGGTATATTGGATGGTTTTACCCACCCAAATGGACTCCCGGGGTGTATTAGGGTCCATGGGAAGCATCTCGGCAATTTTTATTTCCGGGTCTTAAAAAGTGAAAAATTGTCCAAAATTGAAGGTCCAAAATACACGATTTCGGGTCATTTTTTGACTTTTTTTTCGAAAACTAAACTGAATACGTGGGGTGACTCCCGGGGTCATATAAGGTGGTTTGAAACCATAACACAGCTATAAAGATGTCTATAAAGATGTCTAAAACAAAAACAACCAACATGATACAGATAAAAAACACATAGACTGAGATGTAATCACACATAAAGGACACCTGACAATAAGTGTTTCCCAATCTTATGGATATAGAAAGTCAATTCTCCCTACATTAACACACATGCAGCCACAAAGGCCCATCCTTGAATTTGTGAAGCACAAGCATATACAAAAACATCCTTATTAAGTAAATAATCCTAAGAAACAGATAATAAAATAATACAAGTAAAATCTTACAGCATGGGGATGGCTGTGCACAATATCAACAGCAGTTTCATTAGACATGTGTTCCCATAAACCATCAGAAGCGAAAATAAGGAAAGAATCATTCGGCTGTAGATGATGTGAAACAATAGATGGAATTGCAGTCAAGATAGGCATGTGTATTGGTTCTGAAAGCCTGAATTTTGCATTAATAGGTTCCCTGTTATATTGAGCATGTTTCATATAAACATCCCCTATAGATCTAGAAACCTGCACAAGAGATGATCACGACATTGAAAGTAGTTTATTTTCACATATAGTACACCAACATCGGCAAGATGTAATAAACATTAAACAGTCAAAATAAACAAACGACAGTAAATGAATCATTATATATATGTATAAATAATAGAAGAAGAAGAAAAGTTAAAAATACTCCAATACGTTAGCTCATAGCTACAAATTCGCCTTTGTCCAAACAATCTTGCCAATAAGGTGAATATCATCAATATTTCAAGTTACCTACAAATTCCTTATTAATTATATGGTTTCAAGAGTAATAAAGAGCCCCAACCACCCATCCCTCCTTCGGTCCTTCCATCATTAACTCAACTCACCATCCCAATTTCTTTCTTAACTCCGGAAACTGTCAACTTCACCGACCCCCCTCCTTTGCATTGAACACATCAGCTTGATTAACATGTCAAACAGGCTTGTTGAGTCAAGTTGGGGTTTGAATTACCCCCCCCCCCTCCCGACGATAGTCTTCAGGTTTGGGTATTTGCTTATTCATGACTCATAATCTTCAGGTTCCGGTCAACCAAACATTTAATGCCCATTAAAATTTTGTTTTGTAAACAAAAATATAACCATATCCTGATAAAAAAAAAAAAAATAATATGAACTATACAGCGCCAATAACAAATCATGTTAAACATATTAAATTATAACCACATCCAACTATAGATGATTTATAAGTCCAATCAAAGCCATGTTAAACCTAAAAATTATTATAATCAGAGATATTTGTGCAGAAAAGTCCTCAAAATCTCATTCTATTACACTAAATACAAGAATTCTCGGGCAAAGTTGGATTTGAATCAATAGCTTTCCTTTGATGTTGGGTTTTCCACCAATCTAAGCCCCAAAGGCAAACAAAACATCAAAGAAGAGGGGTCAAAGAAGGCACACTGTAAGTTCTTCAGAGCCTATATGGTTTTAAAGGATACAAAGTAGCTCAAACTTATAAAGTATATCTTATTAATAAAGAGGTGTTAACTATGAACACATCCAAAATTGGAAAGCCTAAAGTATATCTTATTAATAAAGAGGTGTTAACTATAAACCATCAATACTACAAGTCTACAACATATTTACCAATACCAAAAAATTAGAAATCTGAAAACCTAGCATCAAAAAATAAAAGATGGCAAATCTAAAAAACAAGTTTCAAACAGAAAGATGACCCTTATCACTGATTTTGGATAGCATAGCAGATAAACATGAATAAAAATATATAGTCACGCATGGTCAATAGGTGCCAAGCTGGTCTCAGCATCTCAAGAGGTTTGTCTTTACCTTTCATAGTTAGCTTCTAGGAAATATACGGGAAAAACGTACATATTTCTATGAAGCTCATGGTTACAATGCCATATAATGAGCTAAGAAAACAAGAATACCACCACCCAAAATAGACACTAATCATTGACAGATTTTACACATATAAAAGATTATCGACATTTATTTCCAAATCCACAATATACCCCAAAAAGTCCAAAATTACACACCACACAAAAACATCAATGGCAGGCTTAAAAAGAATCAACAGGAGAAGAAATGGTAGCACGATAACTAACCTGAATAATTCCTTTCACTCTCCAAACTCCATGCTTTAACATGACAATCTGGGGATCATCTGGATGTAAGTCTCTTAGCTCTCTTCTTACTGCCTCTTCATTAGCATTATGCTCACTTGTTAATTGAACAGCATCAACACCTCCAGTTCTAGCATTTTTCCTCCCAAGAACAGCACGGGAATCTCCAAGATTTGCCACAAAAAGAGTGTGTTGTGATATCACACCAACAAGACAACATGACCCCACAGTGGCTATTTGTGGTTTTGTGCTCCACAACTCCGAAACCACATCAAGAAAACCATCCTCTGTTGCACGAAAAGCTCTTTTTATTGTCTCTGCTGTGACTACACCATCAGTCTCAGCTGATTTTGCTGCATCAATAGAAATCCTAAGAACGCAAACATAAGGTAGGCATCTTCTACATATTTAGCTAAAGAAATTGAAAAGAACAAAACAAAGGAGCAAACATTCAATTTAGTGGTACACGGCAGAATGCAGATACCAATGACTAAAGTCAGCAAAAACTTAACTAAATAATCACGCATTTGCAAGATCCACATGTTGAAAAAGTATAGAGGGGGTGAAGGAATATAATAAGATATAGACATTGTTATCCCTGATGTGATGTCACAGAAACACCAAGACCATTTTTGTCACTAGGATGAAAAGAAAAACAAAATTAATACTTGAATTTCCGCCCAAAAGCTCCTACTTAAAATTCAAATAAATCCTGAACGCATAGAAACTTCAAGTATGCTGCTATGCTCCACATCATGAAAGAATAATAGACAATGATGAATCAGTGTATGGTGGGAGCCCTACATACGCACCCTACACATGCTTACAATCCAAAAGGTACACCACACATTATGCTGCCATCAAACTTCAATTTAGTTAAACATCTCTCCACATGCAACCTATCACTAGCTACAAATCAGTGTGCCCTAATAAACCATCCTTCCCATCATTCCATTTGCTATGTACCATACTCTACAAACTCCGGAGCAATTGGTCTTGGATAACACTAATGTAGAGATCAATACATAAACTACATCAAACTCTTCATATTGATTGCATATTCTATCCATTGAGCTAATTACTATTTCACTCTTTTCAACATAGGCCTTCGTCCAACAACCAAAAAAAGAAACAACCCAAATCAACATTCTACATTATTAGTAAAAACATGCCTATGGCTTCTCTTTAACATCCCCAATCACGCTCTCAGCCAATAAACACATGCTAATGCTATATTTACTCCAACTAATCAGTATCCTCAAACAATTTCTCCTTCAATTAAAACATTTGAATATTTAATATCAACTCTCAACTCATCAATATCCTCAACCAGGATCTCATCCAATTAACACAAATTTAGTCTTTACTCCCAGCTCATCAAGAATATATGATCATACAAAGTCTACGCTATTTTATTCACATTTCAACCCTAAAAATTAATCAAACAACTTCAAGTCAAAACCACAAAAACCCAATTAAAATCCAGCATCTAATCCCACATTTCCAAAACCATTCATACAAACATCAATCAAATTATAATCAATCAAACAAATGAATATAGTAAGAACGAACCTTGAAGGTGGCGAAACAGGTGATCGCAGACAAACCGAGCGGCCTCGGGCCCACCATGACCGTCATAAACACCGACAAAGGTGCCAAAGGGCCCACACTCGATTTGACTCTGATCTTCAAGCACCTGATTAGCCTGAACAACCGCCATAGAAAACTCTCCAGTAGCACACTTTCCCAAATCACGGTACCAAAGCAACCCATCTCTGCCGTCTCTACCACCGCCACCATCGTTATCTCCTCCGCTGCTTCCGCCGACGATGTCAACGCCGAAAGGCTTCCAACATAGAGAGAGAAAGTTCATCAAAGCTTTGAGCATCAAACATTTCTCGGGGGGAAAAACCCAATTCCTGAAATTATCGAAGAACTACTATTCGATTATCAAAACCCACATCAAGAATTCGAAATTTGTAGGGAAATAATGGTGGGATTTTGATTTTGATTTTGATTTAGTTAGAGAGAGAGAGAGAGAGAGAGAGAGAGAGAGAGGAAGAAGATGGGTTTTCTGGGTTTTAATTGTGGGGTGGTTTGTGTTGGGTGGTGGAGAGGCAGAGGAGAGAGAATAAAGGGAGGTTTTTGAGGAAGAATTGTGATTGGGCCAAAGGTAAAAGGGTCGTTTTCAATGTGGAATTTGGGTCATGTGAAAGGCAAGGGGTGTGGGGAGGGCATGGCTGCCTGCCTGGCTCGCTATGTTGTTGTTGTTCTTCTTCTTCTTGTTTCTTCTCGTTTGATGAGCGGGTCATGCGTGTGTCTTCATATATTGTCCAATTTCAATGGTCGAGTGGTCGCTCCTTTGCTTATTATTGTTCCGGTAGCAATGGTCCCTCATATGCCATTGTCGAATTAGATGTGTTGAATCAAGCGGTATCAGAAGTATGTCACAAGTTGAATCTGGTTACGAACCCTTTGTTCGAAGAGAAAATCATTTATAAATGTCTTAACTTGAAAGGTGTTCTTTCAAATAAAATGTCCTATAGTTTTTACAATAAATACTATGTATTGACTAAAGATGTATAAGAAATTAATATAATGTAATAAAGAGATTTTATATTTTTTATGAAGCAACAAAGGTGTCAACGCTTAAGAATCTCAATAACTTCTTTACTAGTTGATTATAGTTCAATGGTGAACAAAAAGTTGTTGAAATGTAAATTAAGAACAAGGTCTTGATTTTATCATTACCTTGGTAAGTTGGAACTTGGAAGCAAGCCTAATTTCACTATTGCGTTTATGGTTTATAGTCATTTAGGGCAAATCACACCCCTAGCTGAGAATTCTCTACCAAGGGAGTGAGAGACTTAGGGCGTGTTAGGCAAAATATAGTTGTGGTAGTAGCATTTAGCTGTGCAAGTAGTTGTTAGATGTCGGTAAGTTATTAACTTGCAAGTAGTTGTTAGATGTCAATAAGTTATTAACTTGCTAGTAGTTGTTAAATGTCGATAAGTTGTTAGCTGTGAAATAGATAATTGAAATATAAGTGTTCGATAAGTTGTTGTCGACTAGCTATTAACAAACAAAAATTATTTATTTATTTATTTTACCAAAAAGTATTTAATAAAATTTCAACCGCTACTTTTAATTTTCAAAAGCTCTAATATAATTAGCTTTTGATTACCTTCAATGAAAATTACCCCAATCACTACTTTGTTAAACGCTCATTTATTTTTATTAAACTATTTTTGTATAATAATTATACATACCAAGTAGATTCAAATTGGATGACTTTAAATTAAAATTATACTAAATCATTGTGCTCATACATATCAATTTTTTTAACAATAATACGATTACTTGATTAGTACCTATTTGATGTGGTGAACAATTATCACATTTCCAAAATTTTAAGGCTCTTTTAAGTGAGTTTTTGTGATAGTAGGGGGGGAGGGAGGCGTTGGTCATACAAATCGTTGTGTAACCACAGCAAACAAAAGAATTCACACAAAGTTTTTGGCTACTACCCTGGCCTCAACACTTCACCAATTCACATTGCATTCTAGAGTAAATCGTGTAATTAAAATTGTAATCATCACAATGTGTTATTACACTTATTAGTAGACAATACATGCAACATACCCATAATAGCTATAAGCTGAAGAATCGATTCTTTGTTGTGATGAGATATCATTCATGAATCGCCCTCGAATCATGCAACAATTCTGATGATTTGATAAACGGCTCACTTCTCCAAACTTGAACGCAAACTAAGTTTTCAAACTTGTTTCTTCCTTTGTCTACCATCTTCTGGAATTCCACCATAACTTAACCAAGTCAATGTCTTTTAAATACCATCAATACTACTCATACTAGTAATATATACTAATCAAATCTTAATTCCTACTTTGAACAACTATGTATGTACCATCTCAGAAAAGTTCTACTACTTTCTTCTCTCTCTATAATCTGCACATAGCTAAAGGTCCTGTTCAAGCAGCCCGAAAACAGCTTAGACAGGAATCGTCTTTGATTTCTGACTCTTCTTCTTCAATATTGATCCCAGAGACATAATCTTCTTCAACTTCTGAACAACACTTTTCCCCATTCCACCTACTTTGTTCTTGGCAGCAGCAGCTTTCTCTTTCGCCTTCAGTTCTTGCTCTTTCGCCTTCTGTTCTTCCTCTTCCTTAAACTGTTGGACTAACTGGCCTACAGAAGCACCAGTTTTTGATAATGCCACCATCAACTCCCCATAAACCTGATTCACCGCCCCCTTAAACTTGACTGAAACTTCTGCTTTAGTTCCCTTCAGAACCCCATTGAATAACCCAACTCCTGCTAACCCTTTCCTGTATGCATCACAAGCATTCAGTATAAACTCGGCGCTATCCTTGAAGTGTTGAGTAACCAGTTGCTCAAAGTTCTTTGGAGGCCTTCGAAGCACACAAAGCATTGTCTTGCAGCTTAGAACAAACACTTCTTCGCTGTATGCCAAGGATTTCTTCTCCCCATAAGTTCGCCCTGCCCATCCTGCGTTACCTGGCTCGTTGAAGTATGGCCTTTCATTCAGGACTAATGCTTGGATTGACAAGAGTAGCTGCAAGAATTTCCCATTGATTTCAAGTCAATATGAGCATGTGTAATAAGTAGAACAGTAACAAAAAAAACCACAAAATATGAACATTGGCTTATTAATCGATAATGACCCCATGCTAAACTAGTTGGCCAGAAAACGGACCCACTCGAACCAAAATTAAGCCATATGACCACCACTAGAACATAACGTTAAACTGACAAAGCATCACTAAAACATGACCCAACTACGTCTATCAATAAAACATGACCCGAACCAAAACTAAATTGAACGATCATCTCTAAAACATGACTCGAACCAAAATCAAATTGTACGTCTATCACTAAAACATGACCTGAACCAAAATTAAATTGAACGATCATCTCTAAAACATGACTCAAACCAAAACTAAATTGAATGATCATCTCTAAAACATGACTCGAACCAAAACTAAATTGAACGATCATCTCTAAAACATGACCCGAACCAAAACTATATATTGAACAAACATGACTATAACATGACCGGAACCAAAACTATATTGAACAAACATGACTATAACATGACCGGAACCAAACAACCATCACACATTCACGTCATTTCGAGGGCATCCACGAGAACTCACGCATAGACTAATCAAACAAGCCGATTTCCATATTGTATCGGTAATAAAACAATATTTCTTGTCGATTTTGGAGTAGGGTCAAGTCAAGAAAAATCACGAAAATTTAAATTTTAAAAATACTAATCAAACAACAGCTTATTTCTTATACTCATGATCAAAATTCAAACCGAAACATTTAAAAGACAATCTTTATCAAAATCCAATAATTTCTCTCAATCTTTATAATTAGAAATAACATAACAACTCTAATATCACACATTTGATTAAACTGATAAAATAAAAACAGAGTATTAAACAGATAATTCTGAAGAAAAAATTGAAACCTGAAGAATAGTAGATTTATTAGGATCCCATTTCTCACACTTTTTACCCAACCAAGTATTCCACAAACTAAGACAAACCCGGCCATTATTATACAAATTCGGGTTGATCCGAAACCCGAATGACTAATAATAAACCAAAGGTGGTTTCGCCGGATAATCCGCCGGAAAAGCAATATCAAAGAAGAACAACCCATCATGATACGGAGTTCCACGAGCACCGAAAATTGCGGCCCGAAGAAGGTCCATCCGGGTTTCATAGGCCCGAACAAAAATGGTTTCGGGTAAGTCCTTAAAAAGCTTCCATTCTTGCATTATCTTTTTCTGGGCGTTTGTTGGCATTGAGGTGTTTTAGGGTGTTTTCCGGCGAAATGGTGGTCGGAAAGATCAGTTACGGCCTCGAATTGAGGGAATCTATCGTCGGAAAGTGACGTCATGGTTGGGGGTTTGGAGAGAGAGAGAAAGTGGAGTGGGAGAGTGTGTTTTTTAGGTTTGTTATTTTTGGAGTTGAAAATTGTTTTTAAGGAAGTAGTCAAAAGTGAGTATGATGATTTAATTAAAAGAAGATAGAAATTTAAATTGGGGTTGTAGAATTTTCCAAAGGGTTTTAATCTCTTCAAAAATTGAGAGATTTGCGGGAGATATTACTGGTGTTATGGTTTTAATCTTTAATACGGAGTAGTACATGTATTTTTAATCATTAATACTCCGTAATTCGATAATGTTTAACCATGATGATAAAATTATACAGAGTGCATTAATTGAGTGAAGCACAAATACGGTTCCTAATTAAACTTTCGTATTTGTGCACTTTTAGTCCCTCAACTTTCAATTGTGCATTTTTGGTCCCTCAACCACCATATTTAGTGTTTCTGACATAAAAGTTGAGGGACCTTGTCTAATAAGCGAAAGTTTAGGGACCTTGAGTCAGCAATAATATTTTTTTTAGATTTATTTATTTAATAAGAATCTTTATAAGTGAGGTGGCTAATGTGATGATGAAAAAAAGTTTAGGACTGAAATTAGTCACGTGGCCCAATTGAATCAGTATAACCAAAACTTAATCCTACTTTCATAATTAACCTTAATGTGATAATTTTATTTTATTTTGTCAGATTTAAATAATTTTTCCATGGCTTACAACTCCCTCATCTTCTTCAGCAATGGCTCCCACCCATAAAAAAAAATTAGCCAAGTTCCGACAATGGCTCCCTCTTCTCTCACAATCACCACACCACCACCACTACTCGATCGATTCACATCCGTTCTCATCATAGTTGTCGCCTTCCACCTTGTCAGTTCATCGCCGCCTCCTTTTCTTCTTTTTAAAGTTGCTGCCTCATTCCCTTTTCAAGGTTTTCGATTTGTAATTTGGGTAGGGTTTGATGATTTTTTTTACCAATATGGGTGAGGTAGGTATTGGTGGTTGTGCGTTTATGATCTTTGCGATGGTAAGGTGTGCTTCAGATCTAAGTGATGGTAAGGTGGGGTTTCGATTCATTGGTGGTGATGAGTTTGGGATTTGGTACGCTGGTGGTGCTGGTGACGGGTGATGTGGGGTTTTGGTTTGTTAATGGTGGTTAGTGATATGGGGGTTTCGGTTCGTTGGTGGCCTGGTGGGTGGTGACGTGGGGTTTCAAGTGGTGGTGATGAGGTGGGATTTCAATCTTAAGGGTAGTGATGTGGGGTTTCAGATCTCGATGGTGGTTAGAGTGTGAGAGGGTGGTTACTAGGTGGGGTGTTGCTGGTGGTGCGAGTTGGTCGGGTGGGTTTTTGGTGGTTATGGTGGAGTTTCACATCTAAATGGTGGTGAGAGAGTAGTGGTACAAGGAGGGTGCTGGTGGTGTTTAAAAGGTTACTAATTAAAGTTTTCTTTCTTATTTTAGTCCAAGTAAGTAATAAATATTAATATCAATAGCTGAAAAAAAAGAAAAATAAATAAATAATAACTCATGGTCCCTAAACTTTTGCTGATTAGGATAAGTCTCTCAACTTTTTGGTCAGAAACACCAAGAGTGGTGGTTGAGGGACCAAAAGTGCACAAATGAAAGTTGAGGGACTAAAAGTGCACAAATACAAAAGTTTAGAGACTGTATTTGTGCTTTACTCTGCATTAATTACGAATGTGTTTAGTACTGTATTGTACTCCGTATTTGAAATAATCATGTCACGTAAAACATCGAGAGTTTAGAAGGTACTAATATTAGCTAGGGCATGTTCTGACTGGACTGAACTGAACTTAAGGCCTATTCTCATACGTTTATTTTCAGTTTAGCTCCTAATTTCCTTCTCTTACAAAATATTCAGTTCAGTTCAGCTCTAATAAGGACCTGTTCTAATAGAATGAAATCAACTGAACTGAACTAAATATTTTATGAGAGAAGGAAATTAAGAACTAAACTGAGTTTATTGGAGCTAAACTGAACTTAAAATAAGCCGAATAGGGCATACCTTAAAGATTGTTTGATACTCGTATTTGTTGAGCTTAAATAATATTGTATGTTACTATAGTTTTAGTAGCACTACTCCGTATTATAGAGTACTTTATTTGTAAATTAAAAGGCCAAAGTTATAGACGAGAATAGAAGTGCGATATTAAAATTAAAAATAAATTTACTCACTATTTTAGTAACTTTTTTTACGGTGTATTTTAGGTAAGTCTATTTAATGATTATGTATACTGTATACACTTATGGTTGCATTGCACAAAAATACTCTAGGATTACATATAATAAAGTGATATTAGATAATATTTAAGCAAGTAGATACCTCATTACATTTTAGATCTCTAGTTCCTTTTAGAGTCTAGGTATATATAGTATTTTTCCTAAACAAAAAAGGTATATATAGTGGAGCATTTCTTTTTTACAAAGTTATTGCCCAAAAGCAACAACTTTGTTAATTTTAGGTTGCGTGTGTATCACAGCTCATAACGCAATTTACAATATTTTTTTTTTTCTTTTTGAGGAAATACAATAAGTTTATACAGTGCGTTGCTGTAAAAGTTTAGCTACTAAATTTACAATAACCTTGAATTTTCATAATTAATTTTTGTTACCTCATAAAACAAAAAAATAGGCGTAGAACTAGTGCGAGTAGTGAAAGTTTAGCTACTAAATTAAAGAGTATTAATTGTTGATATTGATTTGAAAAGTTGATGGACGATGATTGGAATGTTTTCTGAGTAGGATTTGCCACTGATTTGGTAGACGGTTTTAAAGTGGTGAATCCCTATTTAGAGAAAAAGGTTGAAAAACAGCCTAATTTGGGAAAAACTTATACAAAAAGAGTAGGTGATTATGCAGAAACTTTTGACCTAACTCTAACTCACATTAGTAAAGTTAGTAGTGACCACGAAGCTTGCGTAAATTTGTTGCCTATTTTAGATTTTAATATTCATTTTATGATGAAGATGAATAAAATGAGTATACAAAATTAAAACATTTGGCTGATCTACCTCTGCACTTTTCTATTTTAATTTGAAGGAAAAGGAAATCTATTACAGGAAGCATTATACTTCTCCATCACAGAATCATATTCATGGATATTAACCCATAGTCACATTGTCATTTGTAAAGAATTACGGAGTAGTTGTCAAACTTGTTACGATATTACCTACTCCGTAGTACGGAGTAAGTTTTAAGTAAAAATGACAACCTTTTCGAACATCCTAAAATTGTATGGAGTAGAATTTAAAACAAAATAAAAGTAGACAGCTTTTTTAGATATCTTCAGAAACTTATTGTAATACTACCTCCGTTTTATATTATTTGCAACGATTAGACAGTTTTCTTCTCTACTTTATGTCAAATCGTTACAAATAATATGAAACGGAGGTAATAAGATTATTAAACTATTACAATATTAATGTGAAAATGGTACAATATGTAGATTATTGATCTGAAACTTTAATGTCATACGCAGCAACTTTAGAGTCTCCAGTGATCACTGAACAAGATCGACATCAAGGCGAAAGGAAGTCTCGAGTGATCACTGAACAAGATCGACAACAAGGTGAAAGGAAGTCTCCAGTGATCACAGAACAGTATTTAGTATTTACAACATGGTGAAAGGCTGTCTCCAGTGATCACTGAACACAAAACAAAGTGAAAGAACACCATTTTTAAGGAAGTCTCCAGTGATCACAGAACAGTATTTAGTATTTACAACATGGTGAAAGGCTGTCTCCAGTGATCACTGAACACAAAACAAAGTGAAAGGACACCATTTTTACAGCTTGGACCGTCCTGCATTTCGCCCAGCTATGAAGTCCTGCATTTTCTTAAACTGCTCTTTTGTCATTCCATCATAATAACTATGAGCCCTTGCCTGTAAGATAGAAGCATAATCTACATGGTAAGTTTTGAGCAAATGACACATATCAGTTAGAAATGAACATGACAAACATTACAGATTCATCAGTTAAATATCTAAATTCCTGGAAAAAAATGAGATACAAACATACAATTACTACATTGTAAGTTTGTAACTGCAACTTCTTTCATTACTAGAATTATGAACAGTTCAAATGGTACAAATATAAAACTGTACAAATACACAGTTCGAAATTGGGAAAATGTGCACATTCTCAAGTCCTCCAATTGATCAGATGATATCCAAACAATGAGCTCCAACTCACAATCAAATAGATTCTTTAGCTGTGATCTGAGAAGATAGCATACTTACCCAACAACTAGCCAAATGCAAAACGAGAAGCAACAAAAAAATCTCATACACTAAAATTTATATGGGAAAAAGTTGGTAAGTAACTCCGAAAACAAGAGTAGAGTTCTTACAACCACTTGGCTCTTTTCAAACTTCAGCTAAAATGGGAAAGAAAATTGTAAGCTTTAACAAGAAATACCCTTTTGAAAGAAAGCATGCTAAATTTAATTATCATTACAATCTAGAACAATATAGCTTCATTGGGGATGTGAAAGTCATGCAATTACACTATTAATAAGCAAGATTCTCATTAAATTCATAAACTAATTACCCAGAACTCACCAGAAAACATAATCAACAAAAAAGCCCATGAGCTCGAATAAGTTAAATACCTTTTCCAGTGCAAGTGCATCACCTAAGCTGAGCTTCAGACCATCATTAATGACTGATTTATACCGCAACACTAGGTCTTGGTTGTTCTTTGCAATTGAGGCTGCAATTTCCTGAGCTTTTTTCATCAGTTCACCGACTTCAACTACATAATTAACAAATCCCAATTTTTCAGCCTGCTCTGCAGTCAAAGGAGTGGCAGACAGTGACACTTCACGAGCTTTATTCGGTCCTATAATGCGAGAAAGCTTCTGTGAGAGTCCCCATGAAGGAAATATACCAAATCTGCAGTATTAGCACACATGAATAGATGGTGAATAAACTATGAACAAATTATTAAACAAAAATTATAAGCACTAGTAACTAAAGCCAAATAAAAGGACATGTTTCCAGTGAGAGCATATAGTAGTTTTCTGCAACACACAAGCAACAAAAAAAAAAAAAAATAATAAAAAAAAAAAGGCGACAAGACCTAAGATTATTATACTGACTTTTAGCCTCAACTTAATTATAATGGCCAAGGAGAGGGAGAAACAACAAAACAATAAAATTATGTGTTTGGCAAGGCATTCAAAGAGGAAGGGGAGGTGAGGAAAAGAACAGGCTTGCAGTATTATTATTTGAACTTTGAAGTCCTTCTAACATTGTTTGGAAGAGGTTTATTAAATTCTTTCCTCTCATTCCACGTCCAAACGAGGGAAAATAGGCCCCTTAGTTTCACTTTCTTCCAATTCCTAATCTGAATACTTTAACAACTCATAAAGCATGTGAGCTATGCAATTTTGGTTGATGAAATGATGGGATTATTTGATCTGCCAGATTCAAAGTAATCTGGAACTAATTTCCATAATTTTTTCCACATGTTTTCATACTCCCCTAACTTTATGATCACTAGACTAGCTGCATTTATTTTCCAAAATGAAATTAGAGAATGAATTCCACTTCAATTCCTCTTGTTGACTTTTCTCGTTTTGTTCTTGGCCTGATCCATAAATTGCAAAGTCACATTCCAGTTTCCCCAGCTATCTCTTAATTTTACCCTTCTTTTGTTGATTCTGGACTAATCTGGATGCCTATCTGTGGTATGCCTGACTATAGTATATCGTTTATAGTTGCACCGGAATTTACAATGGTCTCCCTAGCTTTCTGCCTGTTTCTCAGTGTTCACTAAATATTGAGTGGGATTATTCCGACAAGGTGGCCTTTGAATAAACATTCATGCTTAATATAGTATTGATCAAACTCTCTAGGACAAGGCTAACACTGTGCTCCATCAGTTTGCTTAGGCACTACAATCTTATTGGCTACATTAATAGTAACAATTTGGACAGCATTTGCCTCACGAAACTAACCACATTCATTTCCTTATAAAAAAGTTCATACTGTCATGCAATTGCTAAGCCCGTGCAAAAAGTGAGCTACAAGATTGTTAATCCCGTGTAGCAAGTTGAGCCACACGATTGTTAATCCCGTGTAGCAAGTTGAGCCACATGATTGTTATCGACTCTATAAGAGATATGTAGACAAGCAATTTCTGCATAAACTCTCCTAAACCGTGATTGAAACATCATTAAATTCTTAGCAAGTAGATTTTCCATATTACATGCCTAATAATTAAATTCACTAGGAAACTCACGCAAAATTGACGTGCCTGATTAGTGGATGAAATTACAGCAATCTTATATCTAGTTCTGTAACTCCTAATTTGCCCCAACTTACACTGTAAGTTCCCCTCTGCTTCTACATATGTATCATTCCTAATTTCCTACTTCAATGACATTTGCAATTCCCTAGCAGCACATAAATTTACGTGCACCCAAGACTCTTTTTTTTAGCTCTCAGAGAGCCCCAAGGCCCCCAAATCATTTGTTGGACAACTGCAAGTTCCATCACACAATTTGTTATACCTAGAGTTACATACACCCAACACTATCTCCGTTCATTCGGACAGCTCCCAATCACACTTCCTGGATATATTAATTAATTAAGATTTAAGATTATAACAGTCCAAATATCAGCAAATAAAACATTGACATAAACAAATTGATCAACAACAATCCCCATTTCCTAGCAATATACTTATCTATCAATATAATCAGAACCCGATATCAAATTACTCCCATAAACAAGAATCATGCTCCAAAATTCAATAAAATCTCAACAATTACATAAACCCAAATCATTGAACACCCCAAAAATTAAATAAAAATAAAAATTATTACCTAGCATGAGTATCAATAAACTTGGTGCTTTTAGCAGCAACAATGATATCACAAGCAAGAGCAATCTCAAAACCAGCAGTAACAGCAAACCCAGAAATAGCCCCAATTATAGGCTTCTTACAGCGCTCCATCTGAGCCACAGGATCACCCTCGACATCCTTAACATCACCTTTGAATACGTCTTCCGCAGCTGTCAGATCAACCCCAGAACAGAAGGCCCGACCCGAACCCGACAAGATGATGACTTTGACGAATTCATCAGCGTCGAGGGATTTGAATGCTTGAGCTAATGATCTCATCATGGATCTGGTCAACGAATTTAGGGATTTGGGTCGGTTTATCATTACTTGGGCTATACCAGTTGTGGGTTCTTGGGTTACCATTATCAGATTTTCTGATGTGGATTTCTCCATTGTTGCTGGTTTTGAAGGTGGAACCAATTTTTTTTTTTTTTTTTGGTAAATAGTACGGAGTATATAATGTCTTTGTTTTTATACTACTCGTTGTATTTGCTATGAGATCAACTATCGGTTGATCAAGGCGGTAGCATTGAGGGACGAGGACTCTAGCTAGGACGGTGATGTTGGAAAGTGTGCTAATAATTAAGGATTCAACTTGTTTCATAAGAGATGGGCACGGGCCGACACGATAGGCCCGACCACTGGCACGGCCAATAAAACATAAATTAATAACATTATTTACATAAACTTGAATTGTTCAAAATAAAATATATATATCGATTTATATATATATATATATTAAAAATTTACGGGTTGGCCCGCGGCCCGGTCTGGCACGGCACGGCCTGCACGTGGGTCGTGCCGTGCCGTGGGCTGGGGTGTGCCAAAATTTGGCACGGCACTGTTCAGCCCGTCGCGAAGCCGGCCCGGCACGAGCCCCGCCTATGAACGGTCAGGCACAACCCCCGATGGCACGGCACAGCACGATGCCCACCTTTATTTCATATACCTACTTAAATTGCTAAAGGAAAAAATATGTCAAGTCAAGTGATATCATTTAATATTAAATAAAAAAAAAGATTAATTGAAATATAATCTATTTATTAAAGTTACTAATTTCAAATCATAACTAAAAACTCAAGATAACGCCGATACCGATAACTAGTTTTCCATATAAAGTGAAAGGCAAACGTAATAACATTATTTAACATCATGCATAAAGAGCTACATACTCAACAATTTTCTAAAATTTGTGCCACAACAAACCAATAACTTATTAAAATCAAAATACAAACTTAATGAAATAAGTTGGAAGCCTAATGACTCTCTTATTCACCCATAATATTCGATATTAATTATAAACTTACACGTAAAATCCACGCTTAAAAAGCCATGGTAAAAACGTGTAATCCTACATTTATTTCTACTAGCTATCATTAAACATAACTACGTCCAACAAGTTAAATAATCCAATTGAACTTTGAAATTCAAAAAGGTTCACATAAAATGTATGTAGTAAAATATATGCTCGATTCCTCTCTAAAAGACAGATGGACAACTTGCACGAACTTAAGTAAATGTAGACCAAAGCCTAAAATGTAAGAGGAGAGAGGTGCCATCAAGTCCTTTTTCCAAGAAGTAGGTATCATACTCTTTCGCCGTAATCTCACGATACTTTGGAGGATTTTCTTCTGATAATAACTAGCCTTTTAACCCGTTCGATGCACTGATTGTTACTAAGGTTATTTTCTTGAAAAGTGTCGGTGTTGTTTGGGGTAAAAATACCCTAAACACGTGGCCCAATGGCCTAGTGACACGTGGCATCCAGCCGTTGGTCAGCAGGGCTCCAATCCTCTGCTGACACGTGTCCTCTAAACCCTAAAAGGGAAACCATCCCTTCCCCACTATAAATAGTGGAAGGACCCTCATTAATGGAGGCTGGAACATTTGTTGTTCACCTTGAATACTCCTCAAAAAGAAAAACACTTACCCCGAGCAATATTAATTGCAGAATTCTCCCATTACGCGAGAAGTAACTTCTACATTACGTGCATTCTACCTCCCGTATCTTTACTAACTTGATCGTCGGAGGCGGAGCTCCTACCCCCAGGAGTCTTCGTGATTTTGCAGGCACAGGCGTCGAAGGGCATTCTTGGAATTGTAACTCTCCCGCAGGACACATCAAAAAACCCCGAAACATTTGGCGCCGTCTGTGGGGAGAGTACTTCTAAGATGACTTCTGATACTGTGTCACCGAATCAGGGCAAACGGCCTGTGGTCGAACCTGAGGTCCAGACGGACCATGAAAGTGGAGACGAAATTGAAACATATGTGGCCCCGGATGGGTCTTTCAGAACGAAGCACCCTCGTGCTAAAGATAGAAGAGAACGGGAAATCAGCCAAGCTGCTCCCAGCAACCCAGCCGGGCAACCGGCTGGAATTGCCCAAACGGTGGAGGGCTCAGCCCCCGTTACAAGAAACGAACTCATGTCTTTCATGAATAGTTTCAAGGGTGAGATCAAGAGCCTCATCCGGTCAGCTACTCCAAAGAAGGGTCAGCCGGCCAAGAAGCCTTCTGGAAAGAAGGCGGTCAAAGAACGAGTTCCTACCCCTCATCCCAAGCCAAAGGAGGGGGAGGGCTTAAGGTTTGATCCAAGCAGACTCCGTTTTCCTCAAGGGGAGCTGCGAAAGGCCATCCGGCACGTACAGCCGGATGGCTCCAAGAAAACATTCTCAGACGCCCGCACATTTCTCCAAGAGAAGCGAGGTCAGGCGTCTGCGTCGGCCTCAACGTCGACCTTCCCGGACAGTTTCCATGACGTCTCACACAGGCGTACGGGAACGAACCTTGGGAGCCAGACGGGCGAAGCTTCTGCCCGGTCTGGACCCAAAGTGATCCAGCCTGGCCTATTCGGCACACCGAATGGGTTGGGTGGATCCCCTTTTATGTCACCGGGTCTTTTCGGTGGGCAAGCGCAACAGCCGTTCCAACCCACGGACTGGCAGCTGCGCCTGCTAAATTTGGGGGAACAGCCAACGGCGTTCTCACCAGAGATAACCCAGGCGGCACAGCCGCCTAAGATCAAGAATGTTTTGGTGGGGGCCTATGACGGCACCACCAACCCAGAAGACCATCTAATGGCCTACTCTAACCTCATGTACCTCCAGGGGTTAGATGATGCCGTCTGGTGTCGATGCTTCCCGGCTACCCTCAAGGGCATAGCCCAGCGGTGGTTTGGTAACCTACCAGCCGGTTGCATCAACAGCTTTCGAACTTTGGCGTACTTGTTTACGTCAAATTTCTCAATGAATATTCCTGCCAAAAAGACTAGCCTCGACCTAGGGGCAATACAGCAGGGCGACCGGGAGGGCCTCCGGTCATACGTCAGACGGTTCAATCTGATGAGAATTCAGATTCCAAGACTATCAGACGAAGTGGCCTATACAGACTTCTTTCGAGGTCTGAAGGATGGGTCGACCTTTAAGTTTGACCTCGTCCGGAAGAGGGTTGCTACCCTCCAAGAGGCGTTAATTGAAGCTGAAGCCTATATACAGGCGACGGAGCTTTGTGCTGTCAAGCAGCCGTCAGATTATAAAAAGTCTGACAAAAAAGAGAGCCGGCAACAGCATCAGCCGGCAAGAAAGGAAGAAAAGAGAAAAGGGGTCTGGGCAGCTGACCGATCAGGACAGCCGGCCCAGAAGATCAGGCGGAAGTCAGAATCGTATGCTCCCAAATACGAGTTCGCAAAAGATTGCTCCACCATCCTCCTGGAAATCAAAGACCGGATGTCTCTCGACAAACCGGCTGAAATGAAAAGCCCCGTGAATAAACGGGACAAGAGCAAGTATTGCCAATACCACGAGGATGTCGGCCACAATACCGATGGCTGCTATAGCCTCAGGCGGCTATTGGACAGTCTGGCAGATGAGGGGGCCCTAAAATCCTACCTACCCAAGGCTAAGGGTAATACCCAGGCCAAGAAAGGGCAGGCGGCAAAAACCGGCCCAGCAAACTCCGAGACGGATGAAGAGACCATCTTCACAATAGCAGGCGGTTTTGCCGGAGGGGGTCCTACCATCCGGGGCACCAAAGACAACATCAGGAAGCTGGTCAACTCAGTGGATGAGGGCCAGGCGTCGAAAGACATCTTTCCTGAGGTCCTTATTTCTGAAAAGGACCGGGGCAAGGTCAGGCGGCCTCATCATGACCCCATCGTCATCGAATGCAAGGTTGCCAACCAGAAGGTTGGCCGAATCCTAATAGACACCGGGAGCTCGTCTGACCTAATCAGTTATCAGTGCTTGACCAAGCTCAAGTACACATCCGGTAACATGCACCAGGCTCCTCACCCACTAGTCGGTTTTGGGGGTGGAGTAGTGCATCCGGTCGGAAGCATAGATCTTCCGATCCGGCTGGGTGAAAAGGGGCAAGGACGCCACATGATAGTCAAGTTTTTAGTTGTGGAGGAGCTGTCCGCCTACAACATGATATTTGGCCGTCCTACCCTCAACGCATCTAAGGCTGTCATCATCCCGTCCCTCATGTTGGTCAAATTTCAAAAGGATGATGGTACAGTCGGTGCCCTAAGCGGGGACCAGAAGACGGCAAGAGATTGCTATCTCTCTGACGTCAAGACAACTATGGGTGCAGCCAGCCAGGGCGAGCCATAGATATTGATAACTGCGACCCAGCAGTCCCGGCTCCAAGGGCAGCCGATATGAAAAGAAAGGCGGACCAACTGACACCCGTCAAAAAGGAGAAATAACAATCACTAGCCGGGGAAAGGTCAGATGACCAACGACCTCAGCCGGCTGGTGACTGCCTTGATGTCATCCTAGATGACAGCCGTCCTGAAAGAACAGTCAAGGTCGGGACGGTAGCCTTCGAACGGTTGGGAGAAGGCTTGCTCCAGCTGCTGAAGGAATTCAAAGACATCTTTGCCTTTGAAGTGGAAGAGATGCCAGGCGTCAGCCCGGATCTTGCTGTCCACAAGCTAGCCGTAGATCCCAAAAAGCAGCTGGTTAGGCAGAAAAAGAGGGATCATGGTGGAGAAAGATCTCAAGCGGCAGCGGCTGAGGTCAAAAAGCTGTTGGATGCTGGATTCATTAGGCAATGCTACTACCCGGATTGGGTGGCAAATGTCGTTCTAGTAAAGAAGCCGAACGGTACTTGGCGGATGTGTGTGGATTACACAGATCTGAACAAAGCATGCCCAAAAGATAGCTACCTGCTTCCAAAGATTGACAGCCTAGTCGACTCAACAGCCGGCCATGCGTTAATGAGCTTTATGGATGCTTATTCCGGCTTCCATCAAATACCTCTCTGGAAGAAAGATCAGGAGAAGACGGCTTTTGTCACTGATCAGGGGTTATTCTGCTATACGGTGATGCCGTTTGGGTTGAAGAATGCACCGGCTACATTCCAGCGCATGATAAACACCGTTTTTATCAACCAGATTGGCAGGAATGTAGAGGCGTATATCGATGACATGATAGTCAAATCCAAGCTACACTCAGGCGGCACCGGGTCATGCTTAACCCAAAGAAATGCGTATTTGGTGTTGAGTCTGGGAAGTTTCTCGGATTCTTGATTGACCAAAGAGGCATCGAAGCTAATCCGGAAAAAATACAGGCGGTAATTGACATG